AGACAGCCTATACAGGAAGAGGAGCTATTAGCAAGTCCGATGCCTTACAAGAGTCCAGTAGTCAGAATATATAAAGAATTCTCACAATTCTATCACAAAAAGACAAATAACCCAAGTAAGAGTAAGGCAAAAATTCTGAATTGACATTTCTGCAAAGACACACGAATAAATAGCCAATAAGCACAGGAAAAGATGTTCAGCACTGCTAGTTAGCTGGGAAATGGAAATCAAAACCATAATGCGACACCACTTCCCAAGCCCTTGGATGGTGCAATAACAAAGACAGGGTTACAAGTGCTGGTGGAGATGTGGAGAATTGGAGCCCTTTCTACTGCTGGTGGGACTGTAACATGGTGCAGCTGTGGTGGCCGTTTCTCATGAAAGGAAACAGAGTTAGCATACGACCCTACAATTCCATTCCCAGGTGTGGTTCGACATACGAGCAAGTATCCCCACCGCAACTGGAAATGAGCTCCCTGCAGGCTTCCCTAACGCACGTTTTCCGCTAGGCAGCATCGGCAACTCGCTCTGAGTGAGTGCACCAGTGGTATCGTCTGGGAAGGTTCTCTCTGGTCACGGGGAATTTTTACATAAAAGCAGTTTCACGAGAACCTTGTTTTTTATGATGACCCATTTCAGAGAACAACGTGCAGCTGTGAAATTTTGTTTCCTGCTTGGGGAAAAATGCTGCAGAAACGGTTGTAATGTTGAACACAGCTTACCAGGACAGTGCTATGGGAAAAAACTCAAGTGTACATATGAGCAGTTTTCTCGTTTCAAAAGAGGTGAAATGTTGACCGATGACAAACCTCGCCTAGACATCCATCAGCTTCCTGAACGGAGCCAATCCCAGAAGCTGAGAAGTGATCTCACTGTCACCAAGAGCAGCCAGGAACAGAGTCTATCTTTGGACACAGGGTTCTGTGCTGAGAAACTCCTAGACCAGGCATCCTCAAACTACGGCCCGCAGGCCACATGTGGCCCGCCGAGGACATGTACCTGGCCTGCCAGGTGTGTTTGCCCCGTTTGTTTTTTTACTTCAAAATAAGATATGTGCCGTGTGCATAGGAATTTGTTCATAGTTGGGGTTTTTTTTTTTTAAACTATTAGTTTGGCCCTCCAAAAGGTCTGAGGGACAGTGAACTGGCCCCCTGTTTAAAAAGTTTGAGGACCCCTGTCCTAGACCAAGGAGACAAAGAGAAAGGGCTTTAACGCCTGAATCCGCAAGACACAAGACAGCAAGAAGTAGTGCTAGAAAATTGGCGGCAGCAGCAGAACCAGAGACTGAGGCAGAAAGATGCAGTGGTCTTCCCTGACTTTAAAGCCAGGCAGCTGCAGTGGATGTGCCAGCCCACAGAGTGAGAGCCGAATGCCTTTGCACAGAAGGCTGGCTGGTGGAGTAGAGTACTTCTGGGCATGTATTGGAAGAATTAAAGAGCTTTGTAACATTCAAGCAAGACAGAGGCCAGGCTTCAGGACTGAAGCCAAGAGAGACGCCTGCCTGTGGGTAGAGTTGAGAACGATATCCACAGGTGTAGTAGTTACATAATCTGCTGTCAACTTGCATAGGGGTGGAGTCTAGCCTGTCAATCAGGTCACAGCTTGATGACCTCATTTGAAGGCTCAACGGAGATAAATAGCTCACTAGAGTCCAGATACAGAGAGACTCTCTGCTTGATCTTCCTGCTGACAAGACACATGAGCTAAACTGATGGGACCAGAGCCCTGGAGCTGGAGGAGCCACGTAGAGACCCACGTCAGTGCTGAGATGCTTCTACCGCCACTGGATCCACAAGGCTTCCCACTCACTGCCCTGTGATCTTCCTGCATTAGACATCATTGCATGTGCTGCATGAGTCTGAAGAGGAATTTATAGACTGATATTGGATATATGGACTAATATCGGACTTATGAACTTGATCTGGACTGGGCTGGGATGTTTTCTTGATATACAATTACTCTTGATATAAACCTCTTTTATACACACGAGTCTCCCTGGATTTGTTTCTCTACTCTACCCGGACTAACACAACAGGTATTCCTGATCCTAAATTGTAACTGCTACCTCCCTAATCAAACTGATAAGTGTGAGTACAATCTCTGAGTTCTGTGTGGCATTGCAACAAATCATCAAGCCACAGAGTAGCAAAGAGTGCCATGGCTGGTGTCATAATTGGTGAAGAGGTTGGAGAGTGGAGCTGTATATCTGACCTCCACCTCATAGGGACCAGCCTTGAGTAGGGATCATGAGTCTCCTATCCAGAAGACAGACCAGCTCAAATGCCTCTGTGCCATGACTATGCCACGTATTTTCATGAGAGAACTGAAGGCATAGTCCACATGTTAGATTGTACTAGAATGATCGTAGCAGCCCTATTCATCAGAGCAGCTGCTAGAAAGACAGAGGCAAGCCAGGGAGCCATCGGAGGTTGAATGGTAGATGGACATAGGATCCAGAGTGTTCTTCAGCAATAAGTAACATTATAGGGACAGCTGGCTCTGTGCTGTCCACTCTGGCACACGGCCTCCAACAGCCCCTTTCCTGGGGCAGCTCTGATGATCCTATGTCACTCTAAACCCAACCCAACTCATTGTGATCCTAGAGAATGGAGTAGAACTGTCCTTCGAATTTTCGAGGTTGTGAATCCTTACTGGAACAGAAAGCCTCATCTTTCTCTTGAGAAGGAGGTGGTGGTTTCCAAATGGTGACCTTGGGATTTGTGGCCCAATGTGTAACCCACTATATTACCAGAGTGCCTCTGTGTCACACTTTGCTAGCCGCCAAATCAGATGGGACCTCCTCAGGTCCCTGTCCCCACCACAGCAGGCCAACACCCTCCACCTGCTACTCAGAGCATTGTCTATGGGTTTAAAACCCAATTGTTTAACATTCAAGAGGCCCAGTTTGGGTCTTAAAATCTGGTGAGCAGCCACCTACGCTGCAACTATTGATCTCTCCTCATCCAGAAGTAAAAAGAGGGGAGGAAAATGAGCATGCATGGAAACAGTTAGTCCAAAGGAGTAATGACCACGTGACCATCAGTCTCCATGCCGCTGAGACCAGAAGAAGTAGATGGTGCCCGGCTACTACTACCAAATGCTCTGAAAGGGATCCCATTAAAAGATCCTGGAACAGAGTGGGAGAAAATATGGCCCAGAACTTAAAATCGTAAAAGAGATCAAGTTTACAGGTCAGAGAGACGAATTAAACCCCGAGGACTATGGCCTGTGGCTATTCTTCAGGAACTGAACTCACCCCCATGGCTCAGTTTTCAGCCCAACGACAGGCAGGTCCACAAGGGAGCAACAGCACTAGGGAGGCGCCCACTTCTTGAGATCAAGGTGGCTACTTTGCCCAAGAACAAAGCTCAGCAGGGTTAGGAGAGAAGGAGGGATGGAAATGGGGAGCAAGTGGGATGTGTTAGGCAGAAATGAGAGTTGGTGGGGCAAGCAAGTGGAACAATACCCTGACCAAGTGAAAAACACTCGGAGGACATTGCGACAAACCAAGCCTCCCCTCCTCGTCGGTGACCTTCCAAGCCCAGATGCAGGAGGCTAACCATTGCAGATAATGCTGAACACTGCAGCTTAGTTCCCAGCTTTGCAGACAGCCAAATCTCAATGGAAAATTCCCCAGCTACTCCCTCCCCAAGACCCGGGCTATGAAACTCTTCACCTCGCACCCAGAGAGCATGACTTCTCTGGCCCCAATTAGGGACCCATGAACCTCGCCCGGGAGCTCTGAAATAAACCTTTAAAACTATTTTCTGCCTTTGCCTTCTTTCTTTCTGTCGCCAAAACTACCTTACAGGATGAGGCTGTTCCATGGTGGGAATAGCCATCAACGAGAAGAAACAAACCGTGTCCGAATGGTTGAATGGGAAACGGCTCTGCTCTGCCGACCTTTGCCCCATTCACAATAAAAGAGAGGCCCCAGCTTTGCGCCAGAACAGCTGACTTGCTCATCCCGGTACTGCTTTCCTATCTCCACCCTTCCCATCTGCCCAACATCCACCTCCTTGTCCCGCGGACGACAGGGACCCCTCTCATTAGAGCAGAGTCCTGGCTCAGTCCAGCCAGCTCAGGGCGGGCTAACAGCAAGCTGCAAGGCCTTCTGGTCTGGCTTCTGGGTCGGCTTGATCCGGACACACCTTCACCAGGTACGCCCATTGTGCCCAGGCCCATATGGCTGCTGCACAGAGTGCAGGGCACACATGGCTGAGGGCCCAGTGCCAGCGCCAGAAAAAGGAAAAGGGCAACAGGTGCAGAGGCTGGATATGTGAGGGCGTGCCGCTTGAGCAGGAGCATCTGGCAGCCTCACTGAGCCGCAGCCTGAGTCCGAGGGGGCAGAGAGCAGCATGAGAGCAGCATGGAAGCAGCGTGACGAGCGGTGGGAGTGAAAAGGGTGGATGAGCGGGGCAGACCCTGTGACCTGGAGGCTTCTGGTGGCTGAGTGAAGGGTAGGAAGTCGTCTTAAGAACTAAATCTAAAAAAAAAAATCTAAAAAAAGTAAAAAATAAAAAAAAAGAACTAAATCTATAACGTGCCACCCTGCAGGAGCCCTGATGGTGTAGTGGTTACATACAAGGCTGTGATCTGCAAGGTCAGCAGTTCAAAACCGCCAGCCTCTTTAGGGAGAAACACAGGGCTTTCTACTTCTGTTAACAGTTACAGTCTCAAAAATTGACAGGAGCAGTTCCAGCCTATTCTATATGGTGACTGTGAGCCCGCATCAACAGGGTGGCAGTGGGTGCTGGGCCATGCTGGCTGACTGCTGTGTAAACAGAGAACAGGAAATGCTGGGAGCAGGGAACAGAGTGGTGGCTGCTGGCACAACCTCTCAGAGGTGACAGGGCTCCTGGTTGGCTCTGAGAATGGACAGGCCACCCCTGCACCTACTCCATTGTTACGCAGGGAACATTCCCAGCAGGCTCTCTCTAGGTAGTGTGCACAAAGCAGTAAGACTGTTGTGCCCCTGGGGGTGAAGGATGTACACATACCTTCCTTGGCACAGGCCAGGCCGCCAGATCCCCCGCCAATCACCAGGAGGTCATAGTCTTGCTGCCCTGCGGTGGTCAAAGATAGGAAGTGAATAGGGGGTAGAATGTGGGGCCCCCAGAACTTCCAGAGTGTACCCCATACACAACGTAACAAAACACTGCCCGAGGGCGGTCTTGGCTAGGACTACTGTGAGCCAAAGCGTTCATTGGCTGGTTTGGGGAAGAAGACCACCAGCCAGGTCTTTCTTGTGTGGAAGCTCTGCTGAAACCTGCTCAGCATCCCCGCAACACGGATGGCACACGAACCCTCGGCTCCACATGGCAAGGGAAAACTCTGCTGCTGTGCCACCCGTGCCTTAGACATTGTTGTCAGTGCCAGAAAGCTGCTTCCAACGCACAGTGACTCCACGCACAACAAAAGGACCCGCAGCCCCGTCCTGCGCCAGCCTCACAAGAGCTCCTGGGCTTCAGCCCACTGTCGTAGCCAGAGTGTCAATCCAGCTCAGGGAGGATCTTTTCTTTACTGCTGCCCCTCCATTCTACCAAGCATGAGTCAATTCCAACTCATTCCAGCCTGAAAGAACAGAGTGGAACTGCTCTATAAGACTCCTGAGGTTGTCAATATTGATAGAAGTCGACACTTGTTTTCTAATCATTTTATTGGGGGCTCGTACAACTCTTATCACAATCCATCCATCCATCCATCCATCCATTGTGTCAGCACATTTGTTGCCATCATCATTTTCAAAACATTTCCTTTCTACTTGAGCCCTTGGTATCAGCTCCTCATTTTTCTCCCTCTCTCCCCCACCCTTCCTCCCTCACAAACCCTTGATAATTTAAAA